TTTCAAGGTAAGTATAAACACCTTGGAGACACAATGTTTCTCTGCTGATACTTTGAATGAGGATTCATGGTTATATAACCTTAGATTAGGTCATTGAATTTTAGAGATATCAAACAGTTGTGGTCAAAAGGAATGGTAACAGGTTTACCCTTAATTGAGATTCCTAATAAGATCTGTGACAAGTGCCTAATTAGTAAACAGTCTAGAAACTCATTCAGCAATTACATCAACTGTAAATCTAGTGAATTTCTTAATGTAGTTTATTCTGATGTTTATGGCCCTTTCGATACACCATCACTAGGAGGGAATATGTATTTTATGTCTTTTGTTGATGACTTGAGCAGGAATATTTGGATATACCTAACAAGGCCAAAAGTGATGTGTACAAGACATTCCAAGACTTCAAAGCTCTTGTGGAAAAGCAGTCAAGGAAGCAAATTAAAATCCTGAGAACAGATGGTGGTGGAGAATTTACATCAGAAGAATTTGAAGAATTCTGCAAGAAACATGGCATAATACATGAAGTAATTGCATCATATACACCACAACACATGACAATGCAAAGAGAAGGAACATAACTATTCTAAACATGGTTAGGAGCATGCTTAAAGAGAAGAATCTTCCTCACAGTTTTTGGGGTAAAGTTGTTGTGACTGCAGTACATGTGCTGAACAGATGTCCTACTAAAGACTCGGCTCAATGGTTCCTGAAGAGGCATGGTCATGCAACAAACCTCTGTCAAACACTTCAAGATTTTTGGATCTCTTTGCTACAAACACACACCTGATCATAAGAGAAAGAAGCTAGAAGATAAAAGTGAGAAGATGATATTTGTAGGATATAACTCAACTGGCTCATACAAACTATACAATCTAGAAAAATAGCAGGCCATGTTCAGCAGAGATGTTCACTTTGATGAAGCAGGGTCATGGGAGGAAACTTAACCAAAAGACAAGACCAACTCCAACATTCAACTTGAGTGGGAAGATGGTGGTCCAAGGGAAGAAATACAACAAGAAGCTGCAGATAATGAAGAACAAAGAGCCACAAGCAGACCTACAAGGACAAGACAGCCTCCAACACACCTCAGAGATTATCAAATATATTTTGTTGGCCATATTTCAAAAGAAGAAAACTTGGTGCAACACATGGCTCTTATGGCAGACATGGAACCTATATCGTTAGAGGAAGCTATCAAGAAAGAAGTGTGAAGAGTGGCAATGAAAGATGAACTAAGAAGTATTGAGAAGAATGACACTTGAGAGATGGTAAAGCTACCTCAAGACAAAAGGGTTGTAGCTGTCAAGTGTGTGTTTAAAACCAAACTTAAGCCTGATGGATCCATAGCCAAACACAAGGACAGATTGGTGGAAAAAGGATTCACGCAGCAAGAAGGCTTGGATTATGATGAAGTGTTTGCTCCTGTAGCAAGAATGAAAACTGTGAGATTGATTGTCTCGATAGCTAGCTGAAAAACTGGAAATTGTGGCAACTAGATGTCAAGTCATCCTTCCTAGATAGGCCACTTGATGAAGAAGTATTTGTGCTGCAACCCCCAGGCTTCAAGTGCAGAGGTGAGAAGCAAAAGGTACTAAGGTTAAAGAAGGTCATATATGGCCTAAAACAGGCACCTATGGCATGGAATAAAAGAATAGACTCATACCTCAACAGTTTTGGTTTTCATAAATGCTCAGTAGAACATGGTGTATATGTACAAACTATAAAGGAATATGGACTGTTAATGTTGTGTATGTATGTTGATGATTTAGTCATCATTGGCAGCAGTCCAAGTGTTAAATAACTGATCAAGAAAAAGTTGATGAGTGAGTTTGAAATGACTGATTTGGTACACTGTCTTACTTTTTGGGCCTTGAGTTCTTATACTCAGAAAGTGGCATTATAATGCATCAAAGGAAGTATGTGTCAGAAGTATTGAACAAATTCAAAATGTTGGGATTCAAGCCAGTAGAAACTCCAGCTGAGGTAAATGTGAAGCTGACAAAAGGTGAAGATGAATGACATGTTGATGGTACACTATTCAGGCAAATGGTTGGCAGCCTGAGATACATAGGTCATAGCATACCAGAGATAACCTTTAGTGTGGGATTGGTCAGCAGATTCATGAGCGATCCAATACATTCACACATGGTGGCAGCCAAAAGAATCATTAGAATCTGAGGGAAACTCTGAGCCATGGTATTCTATTCCCATGTCATGATGCAGCAGACAATAGGTTACACCTTGTAACCTATTCTGATTCTGACTGATGTGGTGATAAGGTTGACAGAAGAAGCACCATGGGACAAGTATTTCTGCTTGCAGGTTCTCCTATATCCTAGAACTCCAAGAAACAAACTGTAGTAGCACTCTCAACATGTGAATCTGAGTATATAGCAGCATGCTCAGCTGCTTGTCAAGCTTTGTGGTTGACTGCACTACTCAAGGAGTTGAACGTTTGGAATGAAGAAGTTGTGAAGTTGTTGGTAGATAACAAAACAACAATTGATCTGACAAAGAATCCAGTATCACATGGTAGGAGCAAACATATTGATACTAAGTTTCACTTCCTTAGAGAACAAGTTAGCAAGGGAAGAATTAAGCTACAACACTGCAAGACTGAACGGAAAATGGCAAACATCTTGACCAAGTCATTGAATAGTGGAAGATTCAAGGAATTGAGAAGATTGTTGAATGTTATTTTTATAATAGTTTTGAATTAAGGGAAGATGTTAAGAGTATTTCAATACTATTGGTAGTCATTTGGCCTGTTTTATAAAGGCTCATATGTGTAGCAACTTAGTGTCAATGAAAATCTAAATCTGATATAGAAATAAAATGTAATAAGAAATTGATATAAAATATACAGAACAATTTTACATCTGCTATTTCTCTCTCTGTTAACAACCGTTTTTTTACCACTGATGTGCATAAAAAGCTAATATCGTCAATAACAAGCGCATAGTCTACTAGCACAACAGTGTAACAAAAATTGTACGAGCATAATGTGATTGCGAGACTTTAAGTTAAAAGAGAATTTTGCCCTATTTTCAGTTTTACGTCTTAAATTTCATGTCTTTTATGATGAAAACTGAATTGACTTGATACCTTTAATTTCTCATGTGACTCACTATTGTACAAAAAAAAAATCACGTTTTTCTAACAAATGTATTTAGTGCTTTGACCGTGAAATCAAATGTGCTCTTATTTAGTCACTTTTTCGTATAATACAGTAGTACTTTTGTGTGGAGATATTTAAGTCATCAGTGGCACACATTTTTTGTAAAAAGAAATATTAGTGTGAAATTTTGTGTAGATATTTAAGCCATTAGTGACACGATTTATAAACAGAAATGTAATTGCAGAAATATCAATAGGTTTGTGTGTAGAGATATTCATCGGTTTCCATCTCCTCTTTTAAGATATAATCATGTTGTTAAATCCTGGAAGATTGGTCTTGTTTTACAGCTAGTTATTTTGTAGGTCAGGAAGATTGGTCTTGTTTTACAGCTAGTTATTTTGCAGGTGATTTCAATCTTTCCTATTTCAAATTGTGTCTGTTTGTAACTTTGCGTTTATCCAGTTTAATATACTTGTCTTCTTCCTTGTTATATAAAAAAATTACTTCCTTTTTCGTTTGCACAATAATAGGAACACAGCTTAATGTGAAGCTTATGGCTCATATTCTTTAAGTATAATGCTTTTGACGTCACCAAGTTAAACAATCGGGATCCCTTCACTTTCAATGTTTATGTGATTAAAAAGCAACGTCCTTAGAAGAGATCGCACCTTAAACCTTAAATCTTAAAATCATGATTTCATTTCCCCTAGTTCTTTATTTTCTAGTAATAGTGGTGAATACAGGAAATAGGCTGAGATGAACTGATTTGCTAGTAACGGATAGCAGTATATTCCGCAAGGTAGAACTAGCGATAGATAACAAAATACTTGGTTCCTCCGAGATTGACAGCAATACAGCATTTTATTAGGTGCACAAAAAATGGCATATCCCTTCCATTATGCTTCATTCCATTTTTGTGTGGTCCTTTTGCAATAGTTCCACATGAAGCGACAATATTCTACAGTCAGTTATTGGATTCTACTATCCTAAAAACACTAGGTCGTCTTTGTTTGGACGTGTAGGCTTTTATTACTGTTGTATTGTATGGTATACCATCACTTGCCTGTTAATAAAACCTAGTTACCACTTACCATTACTAGTCAATAAAAGTAAAATTACCATCAGTTGATTAACATAAGAAATGACCCAACTAAAAACACTTTCACCAAAAAAAAAATCTAAATGAATTTAATAGATTGCATGATAAAGGTTTATATTTAAATATAAGCGTTTCCTTTCTATCATCGTAAATTTTAGATCAGACAGGCTTCCTAGAATAATTATGTAGATCCATGTAGGTCCAAGTAACGTTTTACCGCCGTCTATCAATTGAGAATCACAACACTGAATAAGAGTGTAACTTTAGTCTCATTGTGAACAAAACTTTTCTAATTGTAATTCCATTTTAAGATTTGTCTTAATATGTTTTACCCATAAGCAATCTAAATTTTACGAGCTAGTAATTCATGATGTATAAGCTCAATTGAGAAGTTAATTGCGCAAATTGACCAAATTGTAAAATATCTCAATAAAGGGGCTATAGACATAAACATAACGTTTCAAAAGGGACAAACCTTCAAATGTAAACTCTGAAAAAAGTGGGCAAAAGGAAATAAATAAGCATCATCACAATCACTCCTTACTACAGACCAACCTAATTAAGAAGACAAGAAGAATTCCAAGGCAAAAAATGCCTCTTAAGTCTGTGCCCTCGACATCCACAGGACTGCCACAGAACATTTGATAAATCAAACTCAGAATATACCCTCAGATGATCCTATCGCACCTCTTATCCATGGCAACATAGTTCACATGACACGACAGAGACACCAAAAAAGCAACCACAGCAAAAATAACTTACCATTATCGAATCATTTTGGGCTTAGAAGCATTTTCTGTGAACAATGGATGGGCCAGACTCATCGTATTCGCCCTTAGATATCCACATCTGCAAAAGAAAACACATGTTTTAGGATTCAATCTAATTGCCATTAGATATATTGGTGCTAATTCGTGGTAAAATAACTAACCTGCTGGAAGGTGCTGAGGGATGCAAGGATTGATCCTCCAATCCAGACACTGTACTTCCTCTCTGGTGGAGCCACAACCTTAATCTTCATGCTGCTAGGAGCCAGGGCAGTGATCTCCTTGCTCATACGGTCAGCAATACCGGGAAACATAGTTGAACCACCACTAAGAACAATGTTTCCGTACAGATCCTTTCTGATATCAACATCACACTTCATTATAGAGTTGTAGGTGGTCTCATGAATTCCAGCAGCTTCCATTCCAATCATAGATGGCTGGAAAAGGACTTCTGGGCAACGGAACCTCTCAGCTCCGATTGTGATAACTTGTCCATCAGGAAGCTCATAGTTTTTCTCAATAGAGGAACTGCTCTTTGCAGTTTCAAGTTCTTGTTCATAATCCACAGCAACATAAGCAAGCTTCTCTTTAATGTCACGGACAATTTCCCGCTCAGCTGAGGTGGTGAACATATACCCTCTCTCAGTGAGGATCTTCATCAAAGATTCAGTTAGATCACGACCAGCAAGATCCAAACGAAGGATGGCATGAGGGAGTGCATAACCCTCATAGATTGGCACGGTATGACTCACACCATCACCAGAATCCAAGACAATACCTGTTTCAAAAATGATTTATAATCGAGGGAAAGAACAACGGAATGACAAAGGTATGTTCGGAGACAGGGATAATTTACAAACCTGTTGTACGACCACTTGCATAGAGGGAGAGGACAGCCTGAATGGCCACATACATGGCAGGTACATTGAAGGTCTCAAACATGATTTGGGTCATCTTTTCTCTGTTGGCCTTTGGGTTGAGTGGAGCCTCAGTTAGAAGCACTGGGTGCTCCTCAGGAGCAACACGCAATTCATTGTAAAATGTGTGATGCCAGATCTTTTCCATGTCATCCCAGTTACTGACTATACCGTGCTCAATGGGGTACTTAAGAGTAAGAATACCTCTTTTAGATTGGGCCTCGTCACCTACATAGGCATCCTTTTGACCCATCCCAACCATGACACCAGTATGACGAGGTCGGCCAACAATACTTGGAAACACAGCCCTAGGAGCATCATCACCAGCAAATCCAGCCTGCAAACAGATTATAGATTAGCAAATCACTCAATAACCAAAAACCAAGAATCAAACACACATGACAGGAAAAAAAAACTACAAAGTACTAACCTTCACCATTCCAGTTCCATTGTCACAAACAAGGGGTTGAATATCCTCAGCATCGGCCATCTTTTACAAAAACTAGAGTATACATGAATAACATTATTAAAAATAACAAATTCAGATTGACCACCCACAGAATTCAGCCAATTTTACTTCAAATAATACTGTATATAAACAGAAAAGGTTCACATTGTCTATAACAAGCATAATTATCAACAACATTGAAGCAAAGAAATGAAATACAACACAGTAATATCCAATTTCCTTTATCAAGTACTTAGATTAGATACTTTGAGGTCTTCAAAGAAAGACAGTAGAGCGTGTACAGAGTGGACAACAAAGTAGACGGTCCTTTTTGCATTCTTAATGTCAAACTACCAAGAATTGAGAGAATATTCAAAATGTCATAGAATAAACATATGATGAAAAAATGTGCAACCTTCCATCTTAAATTTCTCACTAAGATACGTACTAAATCTTCAATCTGCTATGACTCAGTGTATCTCATCTTTCAAAATACAAAACGAAGTTCTATAAAGGATAAACTAGGGTTACAAAAAGCAGAAACGGAAAGATTCACATATCAAAAAGCAGATCAGATAATAAATCCAGTCAACAAATCAACATAACCGTAACTGCTTTGGATGTAACACCAGAAAATCAGAATCAGTTCAAACTGATTCCAGATCCAGTATGTATAAGATCAGAATCAGATAAAGCGATAATCCATAAGCATCAACCAGATCACAGATCAGTGACTAGTTAAACGCGATCTACTCTATCTCAGTTACACAGATCAAGTAACAGCAATCGCAATCGCAATTATCAATTATGAAAAACACATAGAAGATTCTGATTAAGTAAGTTCACGAGCATTTTGTGGACAAATCTGAGGATGAAAAAGCGTAGATTGCAAAATCTATAAAGCGAGAAGAAAAAACCTAAACGATCGGAGAAAAAGGAAATTCATACCGTGAAAGTGGAGAGAAAATGGATGGAAGAAGAAAGAAAGAGAAATTCTCTTGAAGTTTCTCTTTCTCTCGGCTACACAAAGTGCAATGCAATGTGGTAAGAATATAGAGAAAAATGGAAGAGGGGTATTTATATGAGGGAGAGAGTGGTTGTGGGCGTGACTCGTGATAATAAAATGGTTAATTTGAAAATTGAATTTGGAAATTTGGGGTTAGGACTAAAATTGAAATTGAAGATACTAGAGAGTAGAGAGAGAAAGAGGGAATCATTACGACCACGAGAAAGAGAAAAAAAGATAGATAGGGTGACCTGGTTGACAGCCTTTTCCTTGCCACACTTCCGTCACTCCGTTTTCTTTTTTCATTATTTTTATTTTTATTAAATCGATAAATTTAAAACTCTTTATTCAATTTTAAATGTATTATTTTATATATTTTTAATGAGTAAAATAATATTTTTATTTTTGTACTCATTATATACAAATATATTTTTCGTTTTTTTACCATGCAGTTCTTTTATTATATTTTTTCGAATAATAACTTCATCTTTTTCTTTGAATCTTTTTGTATATTTTTAAAATTGTGATTATTGAGAAGTAAAATTCACTACAAATCAGTTTCATAAGATTAAGTTAGGTTTTACAACAATTCTAAAATGATATTACAACATTATTTAAGATTCGTTAGGTTATCTACCATGAGATTTTCGTTATCGGGTCATATGCTATTTATAATCATGCAATAAGTTTAGTAAATAATGGATGTAAGAATGTGTGTTATGAGTCTCACATCAGACAACATATGATCTAAACATATATTTATAAGTGGGGACAATTGTCATCTTAAAAACTAGTTTTGTAAGATTGAGGATTGTTGAAAAACAAGTGTGAGTTGTGCGGAAAAACAAGTATGAGTTCTAAATTTCACATTGCTTAAAAAATGGAGGTTGAGCGCTTTATAAGTAAGAGGACACATACTTCTATCACCTTAAGATTTTTGGTGAATATGTCGTGTCTCTCTCACTTGTTTGAGTGAGTTTTTGACCTTTAGGTATGTGTTTGACCCAGTGCGAATATTTTCCCCTAATGATAACTCATAAGTGGTATCAAAGTTAAGGTTCTGATCAAGGAGAAAAAGGAAGCATAACAAAAAAATTCTAATCAATGGATGAAGAAGATAAAAAGATTAAAAAAATTATGATCAAGGGAGGAAGAAGACAAAAATATTGAAGAGTAATAATTTTACAAATGTACCTAATCATTATAATTATAATGATCGTTTTGAAGATGAAGTTGAAGACAAAGTGAAGACATGTGAGACTTTAGATGAAGGGAGGATTTGTTGGGTTAAATAGTATATTCATCCAAGCTCATATTGAATAGTAGGAAGAAAATAAAATTTGAGTATTAATATAAATCGAGATAATTAGTTTTAGTTTTCTAAACACAACAACGAAATGTAGTGTGAGACTTTGGATGAATGGAGGATTTGTTGGGTTAAATATTATATTCATCCAAGTCTCACGTTGGGTAGTAGAAAGAAAATAGAATTTGAGTATTAATATAAATAGAGATAATTAGTTTTAATTTTCTAAACACAACAACAAAATGGGTAGTTGTGTGTTTAGATAGGGTTTTCAATTTTTCCGTTTAAGAATAGTTTATTGAGTGAGTTTGCAATTTTTCTGTCCAAAAATTGTAGTTGAGAAAGAGTTTGCAATTTTTTTGTCCAAAAATTGTAATTGATAGAGGGTTTACAATTTTTTTTTAAAAAAATTTAATTTAGAGGGTTTGCATTTTTCTCCTTAAAAATTGCAGTTGTATGAAAGGGTTTGTCATTTTGTCCTTGTAAAGATTACAAGTTGAATTATGATTTTATGAGTTTTGGTTGGAATTATTTGCTTCTTTTTCTTTTTTGTGGGTATGTTTTCCTGTGTGTAGAAATTTGTTTTTTTTTTGTTATTTACCCATCAGTGGTATTAGAGTCAGGTTCGAGTAAGAGACTGGCTCCTTGTTTCAAAAGTCTTCCTGACATGATGGTTAGGAGGCGTGTTTCGTTGAAGTATCCAAGATGAGATAAGGGTGTCTCTCAACGGCGGTACAAGTATGTGTATTAAAAAATAGCTTTCACTTGATGGGGAGCACAGTGGATAGAGTCACACTTAAGGGGGAGATTATTGAGAAACAAGTGTGAGTTCTAAGTCTCACATTGCTTAGAAAAGTGAAGATTGAGTAGTTTATAAGTAAGAGGACCCATACACCTATCACCTTAAGGTTTTTGGTGAATATGTGGTGTGTCTCTCACTTGTTTGAATGAGTTTTTGACCTTTAGATGAGTGTTTGACCCAATGTGAATATTTTCCTCTCATGATAACCCATCAATAGGGAGGTAATATTCATTTACAATCCAATTTTATAAGATTGAGTTAGGTTTATACCACAACTCTAAAATCATATTACAACATTATTTAAGATTCGTTGGGTTACCTACCATCAGGTTTTCGTTATCAGGTTATACCTTATTTATGATCACGTAATAAGTCTAATAATAATGGATGTAAGGATGTATATTAAGAGTCTCACATTAGACAATATATGATTTAAACTTATATTTATAAGTGGGGATAATTATCACCTTAAAATTCAGTTTTATATGATTGAGTTAAACTCAAACAATAATTCAAATAAATATGTGTCACTAGTAGGTCAAACAGGTGGGCGAGTCGTTGGTCCTAACCATCGTCTTAAGACATAATATGTAAATGAGATATAAAATGTGAGAATGATAAGACAATTTGGAATAAAATTCAATATGTTATTGTTTTATTCCGTAAATCTCTAGATCATATGTATAATACATTTACAGAAAATGGTCTGCTGACCCTAAGGTTTGACAGTCGCGATTCTAAAATAGTGGATTTAGCTGAATGGTAAATAAATATAAAACCAGACTAACAAGGGAGAGTAATTATATACAAAATAAATAACAATTATGCAGAAGATATTTCCTAATACCCTCCCTCAAGTTGGTGAGTAAATGTCATGAAGTCCCAACTTGTTACTTGTTACGCAATGTTACAAGTTGATCATTTCCCAAAGCTTTACTGAACACGTCTGCTAATTTGAATCGTGTTGACGCGTAAATAAGACTAATCATACCATCTTGTAGTTTTTCTCGTACTATATGACAATATATTTCAATATGCCTTGTGCACTCGTGAAAAATAGGATTCTCTGTAATGTGTAGAGTTGCTTGGTTGTCACCAAATAATGGTGTTGGAGCAGCCAGTGGGATTTTCAGATATTATAATATGAATCATAGTCAAGTCAGCTCCAAACATGTATTAGTCATAGCTTGATATCCAAATTATGTTGATGATCTAGAGACAATAACTTACTTCTTATGTTTCCATGAGATTAGGGAATTTCCAAAGAAAATGCAAAATCTCGCAATGGACCTTTTAGTGGTATGAAAACCTCTTAATCTGAATTGCAAAAGTTTAAGGAAAAGGTCATTAAAAGTTGAAAATAATATGCCTTGTTTGGATGTGCCATTTGCTTTATTTATTTTAGGGTGTTAATATCTTTGTTTTCCTAGCCGTTTTTTAATTTGTGTAACCTTTACTGTTCCTTGACCCCCTTTCTCTATTACAAAGTATTTTCATATACTCTAGTAATTATGCCTTTTTATTCTTTGAAATTTGTAAACATTTCAAGGTAACAATCTTTTTTTTATCATTTTAGTTGTTTTATGTTCTCTTTATGGGTGTGTTGATATAGGAAACCTAGGTGTCCCAAACACAAACTTGGTGAGTGATGATGAACTTAATGTAGCATCTTCTCGAACTAGGGAAAAGTGATATATTTGGCATGTTTATAATTATCGTCAGTCGAGTTTAGGAATTTGACATTGAAATTTGTAAAAACTAATGGGCTTGTTGATGTTAGGAGCTCAGAAACATTAATTTCTGGAGTAAAAGGTTCTCCAGGGGTTAGGAACCTAAATAAGACACTAATGCGGAGGGGAAGATGTACCCACCAAAATTGACATCAGGGAGTCTATTAGAGAGTTCAAATTCTCAACCTTGGACTTGAC